TTCTTTACGTTTATTATGATTTGATTAGATAGGACGTTATCGATATCTAATCACAGGTAATTCCGCGAGCGAAGTTCCAAAATACCTGTGTCAGATTTGTCAGCAGTAAAAATTGTTTTAGATCATACATTATTTCAAACATTAATTTGTTATGGAATTATAGCTGGCCAACTAAAAACTACATTAACATAGGTACCTAAACGTATTATTCGAAAAAAAAACAAATACACATTCGACAGTTAAATTTTGTTTTCGCTCCACATTTCAATTTTCGAATGCGTCGCAGTTCGCGGTAATTTTCCATGTATTTACGTTGGTCCAAGTGCCATATTTGGTTCACGTTACCCAACCCGAATGCATGCATCATAATACATTACTGTGCCTTGTGTTGTAATCGCATGGCGTGTATTCCCCCATTAACCCACAACTTACACTGCATCACCATTTACGTACTGATCATTAAGAATACTTAAATTGTTTTCGTCATTTAATCATAGTTTTTATTCGTTTATCGAAATTGTTTTATGTCGGTTCTCTGTGTCCCTTAATTGACACTTAAGGTGTGTATGTCTTGATTTTACTGTGAAAATAAGGAGGCTTTATGTTTACCCGAAAATATTTCATTGCATTTATGGCTATATAGAGAAATTCAGTAAGTTTAAGTACCTATTCATCCGAAGACTGTTTCCAAAAAAGTATGCCGTTTTCCATAGTCGGTTAATTAGAAAAAGTAAGCCGAGTTTGTGTGATAAATCATTAAAAACGCCTCGGTATTCTCCCGCGAGTCTAAATCTGATACTTTATAACGCAAAGACCCTTATCAAATAAGAATCCCATTATCATATTCTCGTAGAACCAAAGTACTTCGAAGTACAAAATGGACGGCCGTCAGTTTTACATAAACAAATACAGAATTAGCAGCCAAAACATGGATCCCATTACACTTCACACTGTTGTAAACACAATTAAAATTACAAAAGCGTTATAGTACATAATCAATGGGTTTCGTAACTGACGCGACGGTTTCCGGCGCCCAAATCTTTGTTTAAAACCTCATTGAGAATAAGTGCCGGGTAAGTGGCACTGCCACTTATAAAAACTATTTTAAAACCGAACATTTCGAGTGCTACTTTAAAACGCTGGTAGCCACTAAGTTTTCGGTTTGAGTACCGATTACATTTTTGCGATAACTATTTTTTCACCTCGTCTTTTTGGAAGCCAAGTCAAATAAGCAATTTGAATAAAGAGAGTATTTATAAAACTTCAAAAGAATATGTTTGCTAAAAGTAGGTTGGACTAGTTTTTTTGCGCGTATCCGCAAAAACTGTACTGACACACATTTAGTGTATTCTTAAGTCTACAACTCTATTATATTTCATAACAAATGACTTCTAGGTACATGTTCGTTCTTACATACGTTTGACCGGAATAAACAGAATTGTTTGAGATGTCGCAATAGTAATAAAGTCGTCACGGAACGTGGTAAGCTGGTGTGTTCTCATATAATTCGTTGCGGTCGTCACAGGGGTAAAGGTTACTATGTTGGTCGTAGCTCAAACTACAGACTCAAACTTACAGTGACAGCAATTAGTCACTACACTAGAAGATCCTTAGACTTTCTGTCGCGGTAAAAAATTGGTCTAATGGCAAATGGAATAGTTGTTTCTAATTTGATTCTTATCTGTATTGACTTTGTATTCAGTATTACCTAAACTTCATTAACTGGAAGCGCAACTGTGGAAGACTATTCACAGATTTGTGTTGAGTAATTTTAAATATGAAATTCGCAGTATTTGTCCTGCATTGGGACGGTTCATCGGACCAACAGCTTAATCATGGGGTATATTCAATATATTCTCTTTCATTTAAAACAAGAATATGTCTAGTGTTCTTAGATATTTTTCTAAACGTGAAGGTTTCTCAATTTCGAAACCATCGACCGTATCTAAACACATTTTCAACGCGTTGTTTTTTACCAATAGCCAATATAAAAGTGTCTTGGGCAATGGTGTTGTTGTTTTCATTACAAGTCCACGGTTTATTTCACGCACGAGCGACTCCTGTTCGTTGTAAAATATCTCTAGGCTGTGATAGGCAATAGGATGATGGACAGTGATAGGTGAGAAATGGGACTTGTGTCGATGGTGAGAGTTTTTAATGTATCTAGAGAATCTGTTATTCTTACACTAGTGTTCTTTTTTTTAAATGTTGTACATTAGCATTTTCTGCTCCTGTGTCGTGGGTGCGTTTACAAACATACAATGTCACATACCTCTACACATGACTCTCAGACCCGGAACAACAATTTGTTGTTCACACAAAGAGTTGCACCGTGCGGGAATCGAATCTACTACACGTTCTGCGGCAGCGTTGCAGTCGTTCATTCTACTTCTATTTGTACTAATCATTTCAAGATCGGTAAAGATAATAATTATAACAGCTTTAATCAAGCCGTAAATGACATAGCCAATCGTTTTCACTTGTACAATCATTAAATAAACAAGTATAAAAGACAACAAAATCAAGAATTCATATTTATTTACGGCTGTTATATCTGCGCTATGAGGCGAATAAAGATTCAAGCGATAGAAACAACGAGGGACTGCCGCAAGGCACACGAGTATTTAGCATTGAGTTATTGAAATATTGAACATTAATATTCAAAATGCTGTTCCAAAGGCAATTTCTAATTGCTTTGAAAATTAGCAAAAGTGGATTAAATTAATGGTCTCGCCTGCAGCGGTACACACGGTGGGTTTACCTTTGAAATATTTTTAAATTACTTCTTTATAGTCCCTGGGCCTGTGTACAATTATAAAGTAGCGATTTCAAAAGTGAAAGTCGCTTGATCTCTGGGTGCCATTAAGGTTTGACTGTACAAATAATACGGAGAAAATGTTAGGGACATAGACTTACTGCTATGGAGCAGGCAAATTCTTACATTCCATGGTTAGCTGGCCTTTGGAAAAATACCCTAGGAATATGTACTTAAGTAGCAAAGTATATTAAGATCTCTAAACCAATGAAGCAATTCGGTGAATGTTAAAAGAACTTGAATAATTCAGCTAAAGTAAGACAAATTGAACTGAGTATGGTACGTGGGCGCATGATGCAATCTCACAAATTTTATCTGTTCCACGCTTTAATAATGATAAATGCATCAAGGTTTATGTAATGGTACGTGATGCTAATGGTTATGGTGCATTTCATACAAATGTACCTACAGTAATGAGGCAGAGATAAATTAAAGCTGCATTTGTTTTAGACACAACCAATACTAAATAAATGAATAACATCTTCAAGTTTCTCTTCTTCATCTAGGTTGAGGTTGACACTAAGTCTCAGTTTCAGATCATAAACCCCTATTCAATTGATAAAAATCCAGCAATCATCATTTATCTCGCCTCCTCTTTCACTTCAATTACAAAGTTCTTTTGAAATGAAAAAGAGACAGCAACATCGTTAAGAATTCATTAATGAGTCTAATTGACATCACTTCATTCAGCTTGATTGCCTCGTTGAGTCTTAATTGGTATCAAGGCTACAATTTATCTATCATTTACTTACATAATCATCAGTCCCACTTCAATGAAGATGTCAAACTACTCTCATATTGCACTCAGACTTGCAAAGCTTAGAACTAATCTTTTGTTAGTATTTTTTCTGCAAATCATATCCTGTCAGTTTTTCATACCACTCAAGTTTACCGTTTTATGCAAATTAACAAGCATTTCTACAACTTAACCTCAATAATTTAGCGAAAAGTTATGATTGAAAGCATAACATTTCGAAACTTTTAAACTTCAATTGTCGCTTTCTCAAAACATTCGACGGCTCTTGAATAAGGATCAAGTTGACGTCGAGTGTCCTAACAAGCAGGAAATGCTACCTAATTCGATAATTGTTCGAATTCCGTCTCACTAATCGGATAGTTTCCGAGGACAGTAGTGGACGTCAGTAGGCAGGCTAGTGCAATTGTTGGTAATTACGTGTCGGTCATTAGCCACTTGAATTGGCGGTCGAGTCCCACTGGCTCCCAGTGTGTTTATCACTTGAGACACTCGACGTATGTTTACAGTTCTAAGCGAGACTAAGTATTTAAATGTTTGTATTATTGTATAAGGAAAGTCATTCATTAAATGCCTTTAATTAAATAAGAGGCTTTTCAAGGCTGAACCAACGCTTCTTTTGACGAAGCCCCCTGCCTGTTCATTGTGTATAATATAAAAAAGTTTTACAATAACACAAACTTTAATGCTTGAAGACAAATAAAACAGCGTGGCAGTTTTCCGTAATGTGAAAAACAGAAAAATAAAATCGACAAATTATGACCCGTTAGAAATGTAATAAGTTCGTAAAAAACTTTTTTCCATGAAATTAGGCCTGTCAAAGGTTTCTGCGTATAAACGTTTCGTGATGGTATCAATAGATTCGAGTTTACCGCGGCGTCAGGGATGGTAAACAAATTTTATGGGCATGTTGCTCACAAGGTGCACTAGTCACGGCATTGCTGTTCAACTGCTGCCTTACACGCACTTGACACTATCAGACCAATAGCAGTTCACCCTCTGTAAAATGAAACATTTTATTCACCACTATACGAAATTCATGAAAAACAAGAAATAAAATAACAAGAAGCATTCTTAGACTGCTGTCTTATATCAAGCTATATTTACACTAAAACGTGTTAATTTTATTACCATAATAAAAATAAACTTTAAACATACGCTTATAATGAAGTTCCCAATTAATTTACACCCAGCATATCTTGTGACACTACATGTGAATCATTATCATAGTCGTGATGTACCGCTTACATGTTGTTTGTTGTGTGACTGACAACTCACCGCCGCTTGTTCAAACGTGTGCTACACCAGTGTTTACTTCACCGAGACCATCATCACCTGTGTGAACCGTCGTGCAAACCAGGATAGACTTGTAAACTCGATTTTCAATTTGAGCGTTTCTTCGTCAGGTCACTAATTGGACTTCGGTTAAAAATGACGATTGATAGAGCTGGCCGGCCGCCAGCCCCCAGGCGTGCCTCGTCAACGTACAGAAGCTACGACGAACTAGGAGTCATAGATCGCGCGAAACCTCTTAAGTACAGGCATGGAGGTATTGAAGACCTCACCGGAATAGAACAGATTAGAACCTTCCGAACTTACGACCCACAAGACATGGATGATATCACTGTTATTAGCTCCGAAGAAGTACCAAAACCCAAAAAGAAAATAGCTGAGGGTCTAGCTAATGGTTTTAGAAGAACGTTTTCTGTGAGAAGCCGTAGAGAAGAACCAGAAGGTATACCGCTAGATACTTTCAATGTGACTTGTGAGGAGAACTTTGCGACGGTTAGAGGAGCGCCTTTCGGAAGGCGTCGGTCTTTGTCGAGGGATAGAGGTTCCTCGCTGCTAGGCAGAAGTTCTTCGGAGGGAGATGTGAGGATGGTCCCTCCTCGAGCCCCTCCGACTGCGCCCGCCCCACGCCTCCATCGCTGTCTTCGAGCACTTGGTGGCAGCTGGAAGAATCTTTTACTATGTGAGTCTTCGAGATATGTGGTTTAACTGCTTTCTTTATTAATTCTGGATATTCTGGCGACAGACTCGCGCAAGGATTAACCGCTAAGCAACTTCAGGCAGTTGTAATTAACATCATACATTAACCGTGTCTAAAAACGTTACCAATGCGTAAACATAACTCTTAACCTTTACAAATCCGGTTTCTTCTCTCATTATTCTGTTATTTAAATGGTAGTTAACCGTTTACTGCTCTCGCCTTGTCCGGGTTAATTATTGGTGTGACGGGAACAAATGACCACTAGGAGCTTAGTTAGTTTGAACCTGTGATTAACCGCGTTGCTTAACCGAATTAAACGCTTTCTTTTATGTAAATTAACTGATTGTTTGTACTACCAAGTAGGGTGGTAATTAATCTCGGATTAGACAGTGTTACAGTGCGGCTGTATTTTATTAGAAAATGATAGCGCTTAATTAAGTTTGACATAATAGCCGAATGATATCGATGGTTCATTAAAGTTTATTGTGATTTATCGCCCCATGGCGCCTGCCTTGACTAATTGACCATAAAATTTACTATAAAAAGAACAAATTAGACGATCAATCTTGTTTTTCGTAAACAAATCGTTGTTGTACTTATTATTTTGTGAAGCCTAATTCTAGACACAAAACACCGACGGTCTGGCTTATTCGTTCGCATAATCGTTATCGCGGTACTGCGATATTCTAGGACGTAACTTCCTATAGCCTTGACACTTGGCGTGCTCTCTACATTGTTTACTTAACTTTATCGCGAACATTTAACTGACAACATGTTTCTTATAATGTTACATGTAGGTGGCAAACGGCTTTAAGATTTAATTTAATTAAAAATGTACAAGCCTTGAGTTTAATGTTTATACAAACATCTGTAGTACCAATATCCTGACCATATTTTGTAATAAAATTGAGGTTTACGCCTCTGTCTTCGCCTACATGATCGTGTAGGAAGCGTATATCACATACTAAATTGTGTTTTAATGCTTATGTATGGTAAATTATTGTTTCATAGGCCTATATGGTTGTGTAAATGGTCATTTTATTTCTATTTTGACATTTCGTGGCTACCTTTTGACTATTTCATATAAGTTTCTGCTTATAAGGAATGAAAGGTGCGTGCGTAAAATATTTGCGTCAAGCAGATATAAAGAAAATGGTAAATGAATCGTGACATTTGGCATGAAAGCACTTATTTCAGCTTGTGTTTCCTTGTAACACAGCCTCCAAACGAGAGCACTCGGTGAAAACATGCTGACATAAGCTCCACATAAATAATGAACACATACCCTTTATATGTGAGCGGCTGTTATCTCGTGTAGTGTCGTGTAAGCTGTGCTAGCTAACCCCGCGCTGCAAGTAGGCTCATTAAGAAAATTGCCTTTTTAATTTTCCGTTACACTGGCCTTACAGGCCCTTGTCGAACAATACACGGTTAAGTGGAAAATGCTCTAGTTTTGTTGTGATAAATGTGTTAATATTTTCATGCTAGCCTGCATGAATACTTGTACTAACAAGAGTAACAAGGCAGACTACAATTATGATTTTATTGTATAAAACTTATTCGTAATCGAATAAAAGAACATACATTATACCGTTTTAGCAAGTCGTAGTTAAAATTTATTACCCGCTAAAGATTTCTGAAGATAGATTAACGTCAAATCCAATGTTCTTAATAGTAATAATAACTGTTATGTGTATTAATTTTATTGTGGCTTTTAAACTTCATATTCGAAGTTACGTCTGGATTTTAACGATCGATTGAAATATTACCAGAAATAAAGGTTGTTGTAGATCGAATATTTTCGTCTTAATATACGATCGACATTGATGTTTCATAGTTTCGTCGGTAGTGAAGGGCCGGCCCTAAAAATTACCTCATTTCAGGGACATTTGGCAACAGAAAACGCTATCAGTGTGTCAACCCCATACAAATAAAATATATTAATGTCGTCTACATAATCTGGCAAAGTTACAAATGTGCGAAACACCATGTTTACGGATATTTCACAATGTCTTGTGTAACATTTATTTTTCCGTGTCAATTTAGGGCTGACTTAAATAAAACAATTTCAACAACAAAGTAATTAATCTTCCGCATACATTTGGCAACAATACGATTAGCGGTCGGAATATCCCCTTTCCCTAATATCATTCTAAATATCCCTGTCCGCAATATCACAGGCAGCGTTCGAGGGTTGTCCTGTCGCCGGCTATCCCCGGATGGACACTGACAGAAGCTTGTAAGGCATTTTAGCGAAATTGCTTTTGTTCGTACATCTGTCGTTGTTCCTACCTTGTTAATTAATTATTTAAGGCGTATTACGGATAAAGGGGGGATTCGTGTACCGTGCGGAGATTCCCATAAATATTTCTGTTCACCATAATGAATTTGTTAGAAATTCTCCTTATCGTCGCTTTTATACACGTGTAGCTAATTTTGAATGCCTCGTAGTCTCACTCATTTTAATATTCCTGGGAATACTCACGCTGATTCATGCACGAAGGAACGAACACGTTACGCATAATTACGTGAGTTGATGCATTTTATGTTAACAACTTTTCTCATAATAAACAGAGGAAAGCAGATAGGGGAACTAAATGAAAATAAATGTATTCATTAACAGTGAATTGGCAGTCATAATAGTGCTAATCTATTTTTATCTGGTGCGGGTCTTTCGAGCCACCTCACGTAGGCACAGGGTCATCGCAGTCACGTCAACAGTATGTGTGGAGCTGTGAGCATGATATCTGCACATTCCGCACGCAGAGCCAGTCTGCGCATTCGAATTATGAATTCCATTTTATAAGACTTTTTTATTTCATTTATGGTGTATTAAAATTATTTTTCTATATTAAATATTTTCGAAAATTTTCTTAATAATGTTTAAATTTAATTTTGTTTCCATTTATAGCAGAACAAATAAGCTTCTCAAATTAAAATGGAATAATGTGTAATGAAATTCCGATAAATATTTACCTTACGTACATTACGCAACAAAATGGCCGCTATCCGCTAACACCCACAACTTGTACTAGAACATAACTGGAGTATAAAGATTACCCTCAGATTATTAGGTCAGAGCAAACGACACTGAGATTACACCACGACTCGCATGGCCGGTAATAAGGCCATAAGCGGTGCCAATAACCGTCCACCGGCCTCCGAGGTACGTGTTTCAATGATCTCCGACGACATGTTTTGATGAATTTTATTAAGTCGTTAGACGCAAGGACAGTTAGGTAACTTTTAGAGAATTTTTAAACTAGATCATTGACAGTTATCCGTTTAGGAATCGGCGCCATTTTGGTTTAATACGCGTGAACGTGACGTGAGAAAAAGGTCGTGAAATAACTTTAGCAAGAAAGCTATATCAGATATTTCAAGAAAATATAAATAATAATAAATAGTAGGTAAATATTTATTACAAAATTAATCAACGCAGCATTATTGTGCTACAATACCTACTCCAATGTAAACTATTGTTCCCATTTCCCAATTGCGGTGTAGAAGGTCTAAATTCATTACGATATCAATATACCTAGTTGGAGTCCCAACCTTCGTAATTAATAATAATAACGCGGTCAGGTTTGTTACTAATTTGCCGTCTTATGAATTTAATCCTTCTCTCTTGCTTACAATTCATCAATTTTGGCAGACATTTTAGTTTCAACATTTGTTCTTGATATTCGTAAAGGCTGAATGTTATGATTCCTTTGCTTATTTGCTGGCTGGTAACATTTGGTTTGTTCTTAATTTCATTTCAAATAAGAAAAAAAACTTAAATTACCTTTTTTGTTTTTTTATTTTATAATATTGAATAAGGAGTTTTTAAGAATAAGGTTCTGTTAATCTGAAATCATTTTGATATTTAAACTTAATGCTATTTGAGATTTCTAATTAGGCGTAAGTCTCAAGTGCTTAGTTAGAAGTTATACAACTTAATTATAAGCTTTCGTATGGATTCCCTTAATCATAGTTTAACCTATTGTGAGTATGATCGTTAACCTTGGTGTAATAACAGGTTATTTCGAGTTTCCCATACAATTACTTAAATGGTTAATTGTTAAAGTTAGAAATTAAACTGCCTTAAATATTGGGTCACTGACAACCTTATCAAAGTCACTTACGGCTGTCACAACGTGATGATAATTAAGTATACAAAAGCTTTCATGACTTGTAAGACCGAGTATACCAGAAATGGACATAATTATGCCACAACAACTTTTCGCCATATAACTAGACTCTAGAGGTGAGTCTATAGCCTTAGATCAGACATAAAAGACCACTAGACTAATATTGAAATATTCCCAAGGAATTAAATTCAAGTCTCCATTTTCTTTTAATGGCATAAGCCGGTATACGAGCATACGGATCACCTGATGGTAAGCAATCGGCGTCGCCCATGGACACCTGGAACACCAGAGGCGTTACAAGTGCGTTACCGGCCTTTTGGGGATTAGGAGTTTGAGGATCGTTGGGGATTCAGGAATTGGGGACATTGGGGAAGGGGAGGGTAATTTCGCCTCTGGTAACCTCACTCACACGACGAAACACTACGCAAGCGTTGCTTCACGTCGGTTTTCTGTGAGGCCGTGGTATCACTCCGGTTGAGCCGGCCCATTCGTGTCGAAGCATGACTCTCCCACACTTAAAGTACTCCATGTGCACCAATCAACGAAACTAACTTAAATGTTCTACATACTATTTTGATAAAAGTCTTCTATTGACCGGTTCATTGCTTATAGAGCAGCCGTTTAGTAGAACACCGCCCACACACTATCACAGCTGCTTACGATACAAATGAAACTGTAGCTGGGACAACTACCGTTTCAATCTCACTAATAATATTGTTAGTGAAAGTTTGTATATTTTGACGTCTGTTGGGAAATTGGAAAATCTAATATGATCTTATAAAAATACATATAAGAGCAGTTTATGAAGATGTATACATGATAATTTTGGTTAGTCATTGGTAATTTTTATGAGAATAATTCGTTTATAAACTGCGTTTAAAATGTCTTCAACCCCCTCTTTTTGAAGTCGGTTAATTATTATGTATTGTACGGTGCAACCGCACATCGTCAGCATTTACTACGCCTTACATTCATTTCATTTTATAATAATAGTTAGTTCGCGTCGAGCTATCAAGTCGGGCGCTCTCATTACGGCCAGCAAAGGCCACGTGTCACACAGTTCACACACATCAGTTCATTAGCTCAGTCACCTTTAATTTTGGAACAATACAATAATTTAGATACATTTAACATTTTTTATTCTATTCTGCCCTACATCATCTGAAAGTAGTGTGTGATCAAGCAAGACATTATACATGTATACTAAAACATTCTCCGAAGTGTAACAAACACTTTTCTGTAAACCGCTTCAAAATCTGTTCAGCTAATCGCGCACAAACATATTTAAAAACCTCCTTTGTTTTCTTTTTAAAATCAGTTAAAAACGCATTAAAAGTCTATAATCAAAAAGACCAAGACTGAAGTTAAGTCCTTGTAATAAATACACAGGACCAGGGCATAAGCCCTTAACCTAGTACCCAAACCAGCCCTAAAAGCCGGCAACGCACTTGTAACGCCTCTAGTGTTTCGAGTGTCCATGGGCGACGTCGAATGCTTGCCGTCTGTCTGCTCGTTTGCCTATCTATCCCATTGATGGAACACTATCATTGTACGGTTGTAATGTCATATAAGGTGTCGCGGAGAACCTAACGGGTTACTGGGGCTCCGGCTCGACGTGCAGGAGAAGGAACGGGGTGGTTTTTAGTCAGTAAGAGTCTGACACTCCCTTCCGCCTCATCCAGGCGGGAGCAGTAATTCGATGATTTTCCCCCCTTAAAAAAAAATGTCACATAAGGTCAATATAATATTATTGTAAGACAACATAGTACTACGCATAAAACAAAATAACGAATGCAACGCATACTTCATGTAATAAGACGCGATCGATTGCCCACTGGTCGGCAAATGTCAATTACAAAGCAATCAGAAATAAATAGCGTGTAATAACAGTAAATCACGGCCTTGTTATTTATTCACTACGATTTGTTTACTATGTGTGGAAAACTTCCTCGTGTGTTAATTAATATTTTGAAGTGAATTCAATTACCTAATTAGGTTGTAGTTCTAATCCATAATCGAGTACCTATTGTTCATATGAAATACTATTTGCCTCTGTTTCTATACCATGATATCTTTATTTTATTTTATTTATTTATTTATGAGGACATAAGTAAAACCTTGTCCTATCGAATCAGAAATAGTATTTTTTAACAACACCTAACATAACATCACGCCTATTATCCCCGAAGGGGTAGGCAGAGTGCACACAGAAGTAACACCCACTTTTCACTATTTATGCTGTGAGTCCCTTGTAATAGGCCCTTGTCCCTTGTAACACAATTCCAGACTCCGTGCTACTACTGAGATTTTTTTAAACCCAGTAATACTTTGCCCGTCCCGGGAATCGAACCCGAGACCCCTTGCTCGGTAGTCGCACTTGCGACCACTCGGCCAACGAGGCAGTCTTACTTTTTAACATCAAAAGAATAATTCTAAGTATTCTATGCCGATATAAAACATCAAAAGTTTTTTTCTTTACATCGATAGGTCTTTAATTGCGACAACGTGTAGGAAAGTTAAGGGACGCTAAGGTACTATGACGTAAGAGCCCGCCATCTTGTTTTGAGACATTTCGACTAAGGGCCAGTGTTGAATGGGTGGAGCGCAGTTTATGCCCCACGGTGTGAATAGTACCGTAAATTCAATTCGGTGGATGTATTATCAGGCGTCGCCATATACGGGCAAAAAGATACAGTTTACCTAGTTATAGTAAGTTATAGGTACGTTTTGTGTCCATGTTAGTATTATTTATTAAGCCAACCGGTGTTAGGATTGGACGTTTCACTTTATTCATTAAAATAAGGATTTAGATAGCATACTAAGTTGCGACTAAATCATACTTAGTGTCGTGAAACGAATCATTTGATAAATCAAGAATCATACATTAATGTTTAACCGTTTGGTACCAAATCGTTACGATATATTAAGGAAAAACGCTACACCATTTAAAGCCCCATTAAATAAACTTGTAATGACCGATGTTAAAAGTCGTAGCACATAATAGGACCTTACATTCATGGTATACATATGTAAGTACGTACAATAATACAAGGTGATAATTTCACAAAATTCCCAAATCCACACGCTCTCACAGATT